GCTTAACAACTTTGGTGGATGCTTCTTTGTCTCTCTCTGCTCATCCAGGGACCTTTTTCTGTCTGCTGTTATTACCCTTACTGTTAAACTCTTCAGAATAGCTTATGACCTCCAACAGTAAATTGAATTTCATGTTACTCTCTGTTAAAGTACCACACTCCACTCTTCACCTTCTGCTACTTACCACCATGTCATTTGGTTGCAATCCCCCATGTTGTCCTTCCAATTGTGTTTTTATATTCCACCTCTTCTACATTGTGAATTTTGCACATGGTCCTCAGGAACTTATTGTTCCTGTACCATTTTGTATTGTTACATTGCCATTGTTAAATTTCTGTCTTTATACAATGCTAAAATATTTTGCAGTGCTTTACAATATTATAAATGACAATAATAATATTATATAACAGAAAGTAATTGACAGGCAAGATAATGCTTACACAGAGGAAGATGGCAATGCTCAAATGAGTTTACAATCTAGGAGGAAGAGGTATAAAAGAAGAAGAATTAAATTTCAAACAGGATGAGAGGTTGACAGATATAATACTTGGGTCTAGTTAAGATTGTGAAAATGGAGCGTGGAGGAAGTGCATGGTGGAATGTGAGAGAATAAAGAGGTCTGTGAAAGCACAGATTGTGTAATGAAGGATGGAAGATGTCTTGTGGCAAGAGACACAGGAAGATGGTAAGCTTTCCTAAAAAGATGACTATTACAGGATTTCTTCAAGAACTGGAGGTTAGGGAAATGCCCAACAAATTGGTAAGGCAATGTTGCGGTCCTTTAAGAATCACGTAGGTGAGAATTATCAATGTGAAAACAAGCAGAGGACAAAAAGGTCACTAGCTGAGCGATGATCAAGAATAGATGTATTTGTGAATAAAAGATTAATGTAATGAGGGATGGAATTGTTGAGTACTTTCTATTTCAGTATATGTAGTTTAATGGACCCTGAAAGGTATAGAAAGCCCATGGAAGGACTAACAAAAAGGTGACATTTGAAAAGAACAATGAGTAAGAAAGATAAGCCTGGCAGCAATATTCATGCTAAAATCTAGATGGACAGTACTGCTAATAGGAAAGTCAATGAGGAGCAAGGACCAGTAGTCAAGGTTTGAGATATGCACACAAGTTAGTGCCTGAGTAGCATCTTACATTAGATAAGGCAAATACAAACAATATTTTTATGATGGATGTTGTATGATATGTAGAGGGGCTGAATGTGAGGAGAATAGATGAGAGACAAGTTTAAAGTAAGATTAAGGCAGTGATGTTTATTTCCACTGTCTTCCAAAGAAATGTAAAACTGAAGTGGAGTATTCAAAAGAGGAATAGTTTTATAAAGGCTGACTTTTAGAAAATAGAAAGACATACAGTTAGAGATAGTAGAAAGAGAGGAAATTAGTGGTGTATTCCAAGCATGAAGGGGAGAGATCAGGAGAAGAGAGGTAAATCTGAGTACCCATAGTGTAAATGTAGCACTGAAATCCAAAGGAGCTAACAATGTTTCTAATAGAGGCAATATAAAGAGAAAAGAAGAATGGGCTGATCCATGAGGGACTCCAGTTAAGGGTAAATTACAATCCAGGATTGGTAGCTGATTAACAGAATTTGTCGAACATCAGGCAGCAATGAACAATATGATTACAATCTAGATCTCATCAACCATTTATTTGCCATGCTACTGGAAAAGATAGCTTTTATTATTTTATTTATTTACATTTTAGCACTACATGAGATACTCACTAGATTAGCTCCATAGTCTGGTTAGATAGTCTCTATTGGGCAGGGCACCAATCAACAACCTCAGCTTCCAACATGCAACGTTACCAACAGGCTGCAGGGGCAGGACTGTCACTGCCTTGCATTTAGCATGAGTCTTGCTGCATGGAAGATGCAGTAAGAAGGTTAGAAGACCTTTAGTGCCGTGGTAATATGAAACTGCTTCCGCTTGGAGCAGTGATAGTAAACTTTGCAGCCAATTCTAGTGTGCACCTATCAAATAGTGATATACCTTTAAAAAAGCAGTACAATCTCTTCTACATAGGAATAGCTCTTTGCAAACAGCTAGCCCATTATCAAAACTGCCTATAACCAAAAATATTCAGGATTGGCACATAAAAAAAAATAAAAATAAAAAGTGAACCAAAAGTTTATCAGGGAGAAAAAAAAGTCAAATAGAGATCTAGGATATATATCGAGAAAAATGGGGGCAACAAGGGGACAAATCAGGCTGGGATAAAACAATAGAAATCAATCACATGTTGAGCTTTACAACTCACATGCAGAGTATAGTTTTTAGATATGGAAAACATAAAAACAGATTTCATCCTTTATACAATGGGAAAAAATGTTTTGTTAGAAGCCAGAGAGATAGAGAGAGAAAAATATAAAGAGAGATTGAAAGGGAACAGGTAACTCCCCTAGAGTTGACAAGATAATTAAAAGCTAAATACTATATATAGAAATTGACGTAGAGTTAAAGGTACAGTAGGACTTTATGACTGCAGTATATTTTCTAGATATAGTATATGCTAACACCACATATTGACCACGATTAAGGTCAATGGAAGCACACAAATCAGTGAGGCTCACACTTGGTCAACTTGCTTTGTGATCAGGATTAATAGTTCTGATATTTTCACCAAAATATGCCATATCTTGTACATTTTTACACAATTCCTGGTTATGTGAATAATCCAAATATCATATGTTGTGCCTAATCATCAAATTTATGAACACCAATATTCAAAAAGTAATAAGCAATACCTAATAAGGTTTAAAATGATATTGGCGGGTACACAACCCAGTTTGGGATAAGTATCTTGAACTATAGGACAGAGAAATCACACAGAGACCAAGTTGAATATGAGAATTCACACCACACTTTATGCTCTCATTTAAGTTATTGCATGCATTCACTTCAAACAGCTTATTATCTAGATAGATCAGCTTACGTATACATCACCATTAGAGGGGCTTAGTTGTCACTCCGCCGCACACGACTGGGGGAACTCAGGCAGTCAGACTTGGAGGGACCCCCTCTTCTGGGAACAGCAGAGACCAGAAACGCGCGTCCGTATTACAGGTAGGTAGTTCTCCAAACCGAGAGCCAAGTTTCTCCGTCTTTTATAAGTTTTCTTATCAGTGCAGCCCAGCATGTATATGTCATGCGCATAAAGTAATCTTTATGGTTGATCAGGCCAGTCATGAACACCCAAGGCCCATGCCAGACACATGCAGCACCTTTTCTATAAAGCTATGTCCCTATACTCTTATCTTTCTAAACATTGCTGACACCAAATCACACTTTTAAGCACGTAGACCTCTTTAGATATTGGCCAGACATGTTATAGAACATTCTATGCTGTGTCATCTTGTTTTTATTAGTTGAATTTCTTAGTGCAACACAGTTTAAGACAAGTGCCATCTTAGCTATCTATAATAGTTTAATTTGCTCAATAGTGATCAATCAATCATGCTTCATAAAAATGAAATATTTTTATCACAGCATATAGCACACAAAAATTAGAGTCCCATGAGAACAGTAGAGGGACACATTGTACTATTAAATGAATTTAGCAGGTGTCCAAGATGACAGTGTAACATGTTTATATTCTGGTATAACTTTTTACTAATAGTAATTTTAAAAATAGAAACAAACAAGTTATATATACATACGAATCACTTACTGTTTAGTGTTGATGTAGGCCGAATGCTTCTGAGAGTTTTATTTCTTCTCCGTATTGCTATCTTGCACTGTTTAAAAAGTGTAAAAAGAAATGTAAATGTGTTGAAATAATTTCTTTAATACAAGCAGTATAATCTTGGAATAGCACACATTATTAACGGGCTGTCAGAATTGTGAAATTCATTGTATTCATATGCCAAACACAATCATTTGATGTTTAATAAATAAGTGAATGACATATTATTACCATTGAGAGAACACTGAAGTTAAAACATTGCAAATAGCACTTTCTGTAAATCACTTATTAGTGATTCATTAAAGTGAGACTTGAAGGAATTCGAAATCAAGTAGTACCTGAACTAGAAGCATAGCTGACTTAGAGAATTTTTCTAGTTCCAGATTTGAAATTCTCTTTGAATTTACTTTGAATACTTAATATTTCTTACATTAGTGAATAACCCTTTAAATCTCCAAGTTGCAGTGCATCTACCATTTTTAGTGATACCTCTGCCTTACACGCATAAAGGTACTATTAAATGTTGCACTCTTGTAAATGTTGGGATGGTTAGGTACTGAGAGTAAACATCTTAGAAGTGGTGTCTGCCTTCATATTGGTGACATTATGTTGAGCCTTAACCCCTTAAGGACCGGAATGTTTTTGCGATGTTATACATTTGCGACCAGGCCTCTTTTTACAATTTTGTGGTGTTTGTGTTTAGCTGTAATTTTCCGCTCTCTCATTTACTGTTCCCATACAAATTATATATTGGTTTTTTTCAGGACAAAAAGGGCTTTCTTTACATACCATTATTTATATAATCTCATGTAATTTAATTTAAAAATAATAAAAAAATGAGGAAAAATTAAATACTTGTTTGTTTACTTTTACTTGAAAAATATTTTACTCATCTACAAAAGCTAATGAAAAACACTGCTAAATAGATTCAAATTTTGTCCTGAGTTTAAAAATACCCAGTGTTTACATGCTTTTTTGACTTTTTTTTTTGTGCAAGTTATAGGGCTATAAGTACAAGTAGGATATTGCCGTTTCAAAACATACATTTTTAAAATGCATCAATAGTGACATTGTAACACTATTATCTGTCATAAATCTCTGAATCACACCCCTATGATCCCTGATGGTCCAAATGGGGGTCTGGTGGTCTGGCAGTAGTTGGTGGTCCTGAGTCCCTGGTGATCCAGTGGGAGAAAACCACAACACAACTCTGATCACCTCCAGGTAATTATTCCACCACAGGACTTCCACAGGCCAGGGTAAAAAAAATTAGAAATGTATTCAATAAAAAAGTAAGCAGTCACCAATCAGCATAGGATATGAAGAGCAGGAAAAAATATATCCTATGCTGATTGGTGACTGCTTACTTTTTTTATTGAATACATTTCTAAATTTTTTTACCATGACCTGTGGTGGAATAATTACCTGGAGGTGATCAGAAAGATCTGTTGGCCCCTCATTACATCGGGGGAGGCATCTTGAGAATGCTAACACTTATCTACATCTAGTGAGTACAAATATTGTTGCGCATAACAAAATTGTGTTGTTACAATATCACACTATGTTTTATTTTATATCTTTTCTGTAGATTTACACAGCCATATCCCGAATAGTTTGTTGTGATTTTCTATATATGTTATAGGTCGCTTCTGGATTACGACCTAGGGAGGCTGTTATTCGTGATCAAAAGTTAAGTATTATTCATTGTAAAATATTTTACTATTTGTGTTTTTCACCTTTTGGTGATACATTTGTTGGTTGATCCAGTGGGAGAGCATGACTGCAAGGGAACCATTATGAAGGTCTGCACCCACCAAAGGTTCACACCTCATGCTGCCAGCTCTGATCCCACCAAGGCAGCTCTGTTTCTTATCTGTGGCAGGTCTCAAAGATTATAACAAACTGCCAGTGGTTCCTCCTTTAAGTGGTCTCTGGGGCATGTGCCATACCCTAGGTATGCCATTATTATCATGGGAAATAAAATGGATGCAATCATGGATCCAGCACCTCCAGTAATGTTCCAAAGGATCATCCTTCTTTACTTAAAGGGTTAGTGGCTTGGGTTAACCATTGGACAGGCTCCCTCATAATTATTTTTATCTATTAATCCAACAGCCAACCCACTGAGGGTAATACTAAATTAATTATGCTTCCATTCATCAGGCCAGGGAATGCTGACTTTCAAACCACACAAGTTGATATTCAATTATTTTTGCACACATTCCAGAGTCTAAAGATGGGATATGGAGTGGGTAAGCAATGTCTCTCCCCATCCACTGCAGTAATTTAACCTCACACCTACTATCTGTAATTTTTAATCCTATGGACAACAGTAAAACAAGGTTGCAAGGTCCCACCCTCACATTTTAAACTGACATCACTTAGTGGAGGGAGAATAGGAGGAGGAACTATTTGCTGGTCCCTCTGTTAATCCATTAAGAACTATAGATGTGCTCACATCCAGCAATTAAAAGGAATGTCAGTATTCCATACAGTTCCTACTGCTATGGTGTTAACTATCTATTTAGATTACTGGGCTCCCCAAGAACTAAAAAAAGAAGCTTAATTGACCTTATTTCTCCCAGCATGACACTTTCTGTGAGGGAGCATTCAGTGTCTCGATGTAGAGTGACAGCCACTACAGGTGGTATTATACAAAGTGTAAACACAGACCTTTCTCAGAAAATTAAGCATTTTCTCTGCTGAGGCTACAGGGGCAGCCTCCATGACCCAGAACCACAATATTAAGCTGAATTGGTTCTGGAGCCTATAGCGACCCTTTAAGGGAATTAAGGAATTTGTGGGTTTCACTTTCAGTAACAACCACAAAATCTTTAATGTAATTCTGAAAAACTGAAATCATTACCCAATAAAACAAACTGAAAAAAGAAACAGTATCAAATGATTCAGATAACCCACATTTTTCTTCAGTTCACAAGTTTATTATCTAGTCTATAATAGCAGGGGATATTATTTTTTATAGATAAAACCTACTAAGAGTGCTAATAATGATAACCTAAAATTTTACTTTTTCATTTCAACCTGCACTTCAGATTTTTTTTATTGCAAAAACTTTAGATGTGAGATAGATTTTGTTTATAATTCACTATTTTCTATATTTTTTTTAATAAAATTGTTTAGTTGTTTTAAATGCTTTGTAGTTTCCGTAGGATTTTATGGGTGTTAATCACTTATTGATTGTTTTAATATTAATTTGCTGTTCTATAAGAAATGTTTTAATAATGATTTTATTAATGACAATAATGTTTACCCTAAGTTATTAGAAATGTTTAGTTCCATAGTTGATTAACATTACTGTGTTTTTATATGTGGATTTTTTTTCTATACCATGGTCCCTTTAAATACGTCAAATGGATATCAGTGTTTATTACAGTGAACTTTGGCCATGCTTGATCTTGATAAAGATCCATATTGGTGAGCGAAACGCGTTGATATAAGTGGTGCTTAGTTCAAGTACAGAGTGTTACAGCGGGTTCAGCCTCTGGCATTTGCTCACATTGAATTCATGTAATGGTATTCATTTGTCTAAATTAATTCACTTTTAACCCCTTAAGGACACATGACATGTGTGACATGTCATGATTCCCTTTTATTCCAGAAGTTTGGTCCTTAAGGGGTTAATAAAAGTTATAACACTATACAGTGCATTTTTTCATTTACCTAAAGCAACCTAAGATAACCGCTTAGTAAATTTCCCCTACTGGTAGCTAGTGCTGCAGCTTGGAATATTGTTGTATAGTTTAGTGAATACTGACTTGCAACTTATGAAAACTATTTGTAGGAGTTTGCTACATTTTAAGGGATACTTGATACACAAGAGAAAGAGTTTCATGTGCTTATTTATACATATCTGTATGACTGTATTACTGCTTCACTGATAAAACAGGGTTTTAGATACCTACGATGACTTATTTATGATCTGACTTTACCATTTGTCTGCTCTTTGATTTGATTGTCTGGGCATTTTGGTGCAGGAATCGAGTATTTTGTTGTAACTTCTAAGAACAATATTTTAGATTATCCTTGTTAGAGCAGTCAGTAGGTTTTATCTATATCTTCTTTGTATTCCTGTACTTGAGGGAAGTACTTTACTGACTTGGCTGCTATCAATATTACTATCACGATTATATTTAAATGTTTTAATTTTTACTTTAAAGGACCACTCTAGGCACCCAGACCACTTCAGCTTAATGAAGTGGTCTGGGTGCCTGGTCCAGCTAGGGTTAACCCATTTTTTTTTTTTTATAAACATAGCAGTTTCAGAAAAACTGCTATGTTTATAATATGGTTAATCCAGCCTCTAAAGCCTCTAGTGGCTGTCTCATTGACAGCTGCTAGAGGCGCTTGCGTGCTTCTCACTGTGAAAATCACAGTGAGAAGATGCCAGTGTCCATAAGAAAGCATTATGAATTCAGCCGAAGAGGAGGAGGAGAGGCGGAGAGAAGGAGGAGAGCTCCCCGCCCGGCGCTGGAGAAAGGTGAGTGTTTAACCCCTTCCTCTCCCTAGAGCCTGGCGGGAGGGGGTCCCTGAGGGTGGGGACACCCTCAGGGCACTATAGTGCCAGGAAAACGAGTATGTTTTCCTGGCACTATAGTGGTCCTTTAAGCTGCACTTCCTGATTATTATTATTATTATTTTTTTTTTTATTGTGTACCATATTTCCACAAATCCAGATATCCTCTTATGTGCACACAGAATACGTACCTCCTCTGCTGAAATATCTTTCTTTGTTATATCAAGGAGATTTTTATTTTTTTGCATGTCTTCTTCCGTTTCTACATATATAGAGGGCAGTCCTAACGCTTGCCTTGGAAACCGTTCTTCCTGTAACAAGATGTATGCACAAAATACCATTATCATCCTAAAGAAGAAATATCATTATTTTACTATGTTCTTTTAATTATTTACATTTTTTAAACATTAAATTAATTTGTGTCACTGATTTTAAAGGGACACTGTAAGCACAGACCCTGGACCCCTTACTTCTGTCCTTCCATTCAGCATAAATTTTTTTTTTTTAATTATATAATCAGAGTCCCCTGCTGTCCATCCCCTCTGTGCTGCCTGGGCTTATGAGGAAACATTAGGCTGAGCGGCAATGGGCTGCTGTAATTGACTGAGCATGTCAGCTGACTGCTCTCAGCCTATCACAGTGTAGATATGAATTGGTATGGCTAGAACTAAGTGTGTCATCTTTTCCATAGCCATACCTCCATTGTAACCAGCCGGGCAGTGAGCTGCCAGGGACTCTCATTCAACGTTAAACTACTTGAAAATGGTTTAACACTGAATTGAGGAACAGTGCCGGGGGACTTCAGACACTATAACCAATTCAATAATATGAGTTAGTTATAGTTCCGACGGTGTTCCTTTAATTACATTGGTTAAAGTACTCCCTGCAGTAATCATGTAAGAAGATTTGGTTAGCAGAGTTACTACGCTTATTCAATTACAGTCCAAGAAACACTCTGAGCACCATAACCACAAATGCACTATGTAGTGGTTATGGTGTCTGATTAAGAAAAGGAAGCATTTGCTCTGCTGAGGGTACAGGGACAGTCTCCATGACCCAGAACCACTTTATTAAGCTGTAGTGGTTCTGGTGCATATAGTGACCCTTTAAGGGAATTGGTTGTTTTAAAACACCCCTCTAATGTAAGTAGTAAAAACTGATTTAGGACCTTTTAACTTCTTACCTAGGGTATGCTGGTCATGACTCACTGCCTCTACCAGAACCGGCAGAGTGCTGCAAGCACTCTCTCTGAGCTAAACCCCATGGTGCCTGGCTTGGCTCATTGGCTGAAAGTGATCAGCTGATGTTCTCAGTCAGTGAGCTAGCACTCACTGCAAAGCTTAGCTCAAAAGAACTTATGGAAGTTTATAGGCAGGAGACCAGCCAGCTCTCTGTCAGAAGTAGTGCAAGCAAGGTGTGGAAAACCTCAGGTACGATGTCAAAACATATTAAAACACTTGGACTACATTTGGGGGGTCCCAGGCAGGGTCAACATCAGGCGGTTTAATAATTACACTTGCAGAGACCGGACTGTATTGCAGAGAGGGAAGGGCCATGTTCACCCTCTGTCATCTTGAGCACTGCCGCACTGGGAGGGAGTGATGCCCATTCACTTCCTCCATGCTCTCAATAAAAAGCCACATGGGAGGAGAGGAAAAGCACAGCCATCTCAGCACAGCTTAAAGCTGGATTCTGTCGGTGCATATGTGTGTCAGTGTGTGTGTATGTCTGGCACGAAGTGAATGTTTGTGCATGTTTGTCAGTGTGTGTGTCTGTCTGATAATGTGTACTGGTATGTGTATGCCTGGAATTGAGTGTCCCCGTGTGTGT